TTAAATATATAATGGTGAAATAATGTATTAGGCTTTAGTCTTGGAAAGTGCCCATTTAATCTTACTAATATTTATAAAAGTTAGATTTTGTTAAACTTTAAGACAATACGTTTCCCTAAAATGTCTAAATCAAAGTTTGGGAATTCAAAGTGTAAGTGGCATCAAAAATAATAAGCACATGAATGCTTGAGGTGAGTTCCAATGTCCCTTAGGATGACTTGTCCTGTCATGTAAATTGAGCGAGTCCAAAGTTTTGCAGAGGCGGAATGGTACACAATGTGGAGCAGCGCCTAGAGAGATAGCCAGAAATGTACTTATTCTTTCCACTTTGATTAACTAGATAAGGTAGATCAATCTGGTCTTTTTTGTCATATCTATGTAGACGACATTCATTAAAGTAGTAATAGTAGGTTAAAACGCAGCCTTATGTAAAAGCCCACTCTTAATCCAGGGGATGTTAGCCAACCTATAGAGCCTTATTTCTTACCTCCCTCTCTCTAAAATCTTGAGAAAGTAGTTCGGCCAAACAAATTGGTGCTTTCTACCATAACGACAGCTTAATTTGAGGATTTTAGTCACTGTTACTCTAAATGGTATTCAACCCCTGTCTCCCAGCATCTGTATATTATTTATATTAAATAATTAAAATTAAATATTAAAATTTGTGTATTTCTTCCTATCTGCTACGGACTTGCTATAGACAATATCTTTCCCCAGTGATGGATCAGTTAAAGTCCTATCTTAATCTTATCAAATATAATAAAATATTATGAAATATAAAGTATACATTGCAAAAATCAAGTGCACATCCTGTCCACTAGCAGAGTCCAGAAAATAACTTGGTCCATGCATTTGTTATTGTACTGCAAATACTTAGATTAGGCTGCCCCAATAAGTCCATTAAGACGCTAGAGCAGAATGCTGCAGCACGAGTACTGACAGGAAATATGAAAAGGGTTTTGATTTCTCCTGTATTAGCTTCTCTGAACTGGCTCCCTGTAATATTCAAATCCTCCTCCCTACCTACAAAGCTCTTCATTGTCAGGCATCTTCATATCTAAAAGAGCTCAGTCAGGACCACCTCTGTCAAAAGAACTTTTATTTCCAAAGCAGAATGTTACATTTGGAACAGAGCAAGCATCAATGGCAATCAGAAAATGACACTGATTAATTAGATACAACATACAAAGGAGGAGCTGGGAGGGAGGTGGGTTGCAAAAAGGCTTGCAGAGGAAGCAGCAAAGATAAGCAGGCTAAAGCAGCTTAAATAAGGCGCCCTGACTGATATTTGCCAAGGATGCTTGAGGGAATCAGCTGAGCTGACTGTGTATGGTTTCCGATAGGAAGCTTAGGAGAAACCAGCTGAGCCATCAGCTGATCTGTGCTTCGATTAGCTGTGATCAGCAGATTTAGCTGGAATTGAGCTTGACTTCGTGGCCTGCCTGAACTAACGCTGTGCTTAATTGTGCATGTATTTTATTATTGCCTTGTATTTTATCACTGCCATTTATTGTTATTATTACGCTTTTTTTGTAGTATTTGTGCCTCTTTTTTTTCCGGATGTCATTCGCTATTGTGCCATTCACTTTAATTTGTAAAAAAAAAAACACTTCATCTCCCTTTGTTTTTAAATGTGCTATGGTCTATACAGTATAAATAAACTTGATTGATGATTGATGAAACTTGACATCATCATCCAATTGCTGCCAATTCTTGAGAAGTAGTGTGTAGTATCGTGTTTTTGTTATTTTATAGTGAGACGTTTATATCTGCAGATGCCGCAGGTTGCCTTCCATGGAATCTGCTAGGTTAGACTGTTATGTTTGTACAGCAGCTCATAATGCACAAACAAACACAGGTGCAGGTAAGGACACCTTTTGCGAGTTTTCGCAACCACCATAGTTTCTTCAACACACTTCACAGCCCATTCTCATGCTTTACTTACATGCTTGCAAATGACACAAATTCAGTGGTTGAAGAAATATTCAGTCGTTTTACTTAAGTGGCAATACAACCATGTAAAATGTAAAAAGTATTGAAAATCCTACTTAAGTAAAAGTACAATAGTATTATCAGCAAAAGGTACAGGAAGTATCAAAAGTAAAAATACTTTATCTGCAGAAAAATGGCCACTGTGACTGCCACACTCTCAAGTGTAATCTGAGCACAAGTAAATTTCATTATGCGAGTTTTGACTGGTGTTTCTTCTTAAATAGCCAGAGCTGATGTCCATCTCATTTATTGCTGCTGTATGTTGGCAAGGCTTTAATCTAATAGCAGAAACTCATGTCAGATAGAAAGGGAAGATTCTGTCTATAGGGATTTCTTTGAAGTGGCTTCTATTTAACTGAGTTCAGTGGGTGGAGGGGAGTCTTACTCTATTTCCTCTGATTGTGGTTGGGGCACATCCTGTGTTTAAACAAATACAGGAAATGTTGTCAGGATTAACATGAATGTCCTTGGCACACATTGAGGCTACTTAAACACAAACAGGTGATACACAAGTGTGCCCAAATGCACTCACAATACCAACCAGTATTAAACAGTTCCATTCCTGCTCATAACTGTTTCAGTTCACTTTGCATGGCTGTCCATCCACCTGAAGGGCAAATCTCACTGAAGGAATAAAAGTACAAAATAATGGCATAAGTAATGTGTGGACCAACTACCATGTTGCTATTTATCTGGTTTCAGTGTAATCACTTCAAATCTTTCACATAAACTGCGATAACATGGAGTTTTGGCCACAAAGCTCTGAGAACACACCCTGTTTTCTGTTTTGCCAACCCCAGCTCCACGCGCTCCAAATTCCTGTCCAAAACTGCTCTACATCAGCTTCTGTCCATCTTTAGACAATAAGAAACATTTGTCTAAATACCAGTTGTCATTCTTTAATTTATTTTAGACCTCAGTGCACGGTTTTGACACGTTGATCCAATTGCTATTTTCTATTAGACCTGTCTTATAAGGATACTCCTCCTCTACTCCTTCCTAGTTGAGTAAGCTCTATCCTCTAACAACACAACTGTCTTATTCACCAGAACGATGATGCAACAATGCAACATAATACTATCCACCTGAATGAGATGTCAAATGCTGGATGGAAAAAACTGTCTTCCGTTTGAATGATAACTAACAACCTACTAATTTAACTAAAATCAAATAAAATAGTAAAAAATATGAGGAATTAAGCAAGAGGGAGCAAAGACAAAATATGTGTAGGTGTTGTGTGCAAAAGAGCAGTTATGAAGGGGATGTAAGGGACTCTGTATAATAAGGGAGACTGGGTGTAGGGAACTGATAGTTTGGACTAGAAAAGTTTTGATTTGAGTTGAACAGTAAGATGGTAAAAGTGAGCATTTTAAAGTAAAGATCAGTCAGCTGATTGTGTAATCTGTCTTGTCATAACTGGCCATATTTTCTGCTATTTTACCATTTGCTATTTATTGGTTTTAGTGGTAATATTCAAATCTTTACATAAACCTGCGATAACATGAGTTTTGGCCACAAGTTGAGAACACCCTGTTTTCTGTTTTGCCAACCCAGCTCCAGGCTCCAATTCCTGTCCAAAACTGTCTACATGCAGCTTCTGTCTTTTTTAGACAATAAAAACATTGTCTAAATACAGTTGTCATTTTAATTATTTTAGACCTCAGTGCAGGTTTTGACACGGTTGATCATTGTATTTTATTAGACTGTCTTATAAGGATACTCCTCCTCTACTCCCTTTAGTGTGGAGTAAGCTCTATCTTCTACAAGCACAATGTCTTATTTCACAGAACGATGATGACATGCAAATATACTATCCACTGAATGAGATGTCAAATGCTGGATGGAAAAAACTGTCTTTCGTTGAATGATAGCTAACAACTAGCTAACTTTAACTAAAATAAATAACTTTTATTCCAAAGCAGA